TTCAACTCTAAAATCAGAGGAAAATCTCCTCGGGTGAGAATTAACGAACACGATAGGAGCACGTTCAGGGCACGCCTCCCCTCACCCAGGCTGTAAGCTCACATCTTCCCTCCCTTCCCTGCTGCACCGTGGACGGCGGTCCCTCCTGGGGCCGAGGTGAGTGCCTGACCCAGGAGTTCGCTCTCACGGGCACCACTGAGGCTGCCGAGCCAGGGGAGCACCCAGCATCTCCTCCAGGCTTTAGAGGGGAAACTGAGGCAGGTGTGTCCCAGGACCTGGCCCAGGTCACACGGCGCTGGTGGGACCCGGGACTCCACCCAGGCTTGCAGCCCTGGACAGCCAGCGGCAGTGACCGGAGGGGCCCGAGATGAGGGGCCAGCATGTGGGGTCCCCCATGCATGGTGGTCACTATTCCAGCAAGGTCGGTGCTGACCGCAGGGGCTTGCAGCCGTGGTCGGCAAACTGCGGCTCGCGAGCCACAGGCGGCTCTTTGGCCCCTTGAGTGTGGCTCTTCCTAAGCCTTAGGAGGACTCTAATTAAGTTAGTAACGATGTACCTACCTATATAGTTTCAGTTTAAAAAATTCGGCTCTCAGAAATTTCTATCCTTGTCCTGTTTATACTTGGCTCTGTTGACTGATGAGTTTGCCGACCACTGGCCCAGAGTGTGGGGAGCGGAACCCCGCCCCCTGCGGGCGGGACTGTGACCTGGGGGCTGCCTCCGGCTGCCACTGCTCCATCCTGTGCGTGACCTGTGCTGACCTGACCGTTCTAGACGCCGGAGCCCAGCGCAGAGCGAGGGCCCAAGAAGCTGAGCTACGTGGAGCCGGAGAGCGAGCACTCGGCCCTGCTGGCAGCCATCCGGGGGCACCGCGGCGCCTGCAGCCTGCGCAAGGTGAGGCCCCGGCGGGCTGCAGAGTTCAGGGCGACACTCGGTCTCTCAGATGTGGGTGCCCCCCGACTACCCCAGACTAGGCGGAGGGCGATCACTGTGTGGGAGGCCAGGGCCCAGGAAGTGCCCCCCCGCCCCGCACTGGGCATTTCCCAGATTCCTGGAGGGGCCCTGCCTGGCTCCAGGGCCTGGTTCTCCCCGAGGCAGCAGCCTGGCCTGGTCTGACCCAGCCTCAGGGGCCAGCGTGGCCCTGAGTTTAGGGGCAGGAGGGGGTCCCGGCTTCCGCAGCCAGGGTCCCCAGTGAGGCAGGTGCATGAGCTCTGGGTGGGGACGGGGGTCCTCCCGGCAGTGGGTCCGGTTGGCACCGTGGTCCCGGGCCTGGCCCCTGCCAGACAAGCAGGTCTCGGAGGGCAGGACTGCCCCTGCTCGGGGCCAGTGGCGCTCTGGGGGGAAGACGCAGCCGGTGCCGCCCTCGGGAAGGGCCCTGGCACAGTGTCCTCTCGCCCTCTCTTCCCAGGTGGCGTCCTGTGCCTCTGAGGAGCTCCGGAGCTTCCGTGAGGCTGCGAGGTCCGCTCACGGGCCAGAACCATCGGGCCTGGGAGACCCTGGCAGCCAGCCCCCAGCCACCCTGCCTCCCCCGCCCCCTCCGGCAGCCCCAGCTCCTCCTCCCGCCTCCAGGACAGCGCCCAGGGCCAGCGCCAGTGCCCTCGGCACCCCGGTGGACGCCAGGCAAGCCTTGATGGACGCCATCCGCTCGGGCACAGGGGCGGCCAGGCTGAGGAAGGTGATGTGGGCTGCGTGTGAGCCGGGCCGTGGGGGCGAGGGGACCTGGAGGGATGTGCCACCTGCAGGCGGGCGCCTGGCCCTGGGACAGCAGCAGGGTGAAGGTGGGGGGAATAGGGGGGCTGCGTCCTGCACCCCCCTGTCCAGCAGGGCCCTGCACGCCCTCACGGGGGAGGCGGTCGGCCTGACTAGCTCCTGGGGATGAAGGGGAGGGCGCGTCAGCCACTAACCCCTGAGAAGTCCGCCACCCGCCCTGCGGGCCCGGGACAAGCTGTGCAGGAGCCTAAAATGTGTCCGTGGAACCTGGGTCACACGCGCGGTCCACAGCCTGGGTCCGTGGCCCGTCCCAGCCAGGCCGGGCCCTGCCGGTGTCTGCTGGGTTCGCAGCGAGTGCACTTGGTGTGTGTGACGGCCTCTGACCTCTGCAGGTGTCCAGAGCTTGAAGGAAAATGCACGGAGCCTGCTCTTTGCAAATGGAGCCAACGTGCTCTTTAAAGCTGCGTCCACGCGTGGTTCCCAGCTTGGGGGGCCCTTGGGGGTCTGGATCTCTTAGCGACGTCGCAGCGGCGCCTCCTCTGGGCACCTGCTCCTCTGGGTACCTGCTCCTCTGGGCACCTGCACAGCGGCCCCTGGAGTTAGTCCTACGGCCTTTTCCCTTTCAAATCTGCTCACTCCCTGGGCAGACCTTCGTCACCCAGCGCGATGGCCCTCAGCGCTGTCTCCACCCCAGGCTGGGCCTTCGGATCACATCGCCAGACCCCTCCTGGACATTCACGGGGTGTGCTCCCCAGGTTCAGAGCCGAGCCCCCG